ACAGCATCAAATTTGTAGCACGGGCGTGCTATTTTGCACGGTCTGGGAGTGTCAGGGCCTGAGTTTTATGGATGGCTCGGCACGGGCCGTGCTGCGTAACACGTCCAAAGAAAAATCTGTGGAACGGGCGTGCCCCATAGCACGGCCAGGGCGTGCTAGGCTCTGTCTTTTCAGCATGAAATGCATCATGGGCGTGCTTGATAAGGTTCTTTCAGGCACGGGCGTACCAGATAGCACAGGCTTGGCGTGCTAGAGTCTGAGTCTCCACTTGATTTTCCTTAAGTTCAGCACGGGCGTGCTGATTTGCACGGGCAGGGCGTGCCAGAGCCTAAGTGTTTTGCTTTATAATGCTAATGCTCTTTTCTGTGCCCAAAATCCTGGCAAAACTTTCTTTAACGATCAAGTGGATTATTGATTTCAAGGAGAACTTTGACAAAAACATTAAATAGGATTATGATTCAAGGAATCTTTGAACAAAAACATAAATAAAACAAAGTGAAAATTAGTTAAAGTGATTAAAATTACTAAAATTCCTAATAAGAACTATATTAAAAATATTGTAAAAATAACACCTATCAATTTCCTTGATCTTCTCAGGGTTCGCCTTTATACCCCATTATGATATCACAAAACCCAAAAACTTGCCTGCTTCTACCCTGAATGTGCACTTGTCTGGATTCAATTTCATATTGAACTTGTTTAAGATTTCAAATGCTTCTTCCAAGTCCTTGGGATGGTTTGCAACCTGAGTACTTTTAATGATCATGTCGTCTATAGATACCTCTACCGTTCGCCTTATCTAGTGTTGGAACATGCTGTTGACCAATCTCTTGTATGTGGCTCTTGCATTTTTTAGACCAAAGGGCATCATTTGGTAGCAATAAATCCCCCTATCTATAATGAAGCTCATCTTCTCTTCATCTAGCTTGTTCATCCTTATTTGGTGGTATTCAGCAGCTGCATCTATGAAGATGTATACTTCATAGCCAGCTATTGAATCTACTTATTGGTCTATGTTAGGCAGAGGGTAGGGGTCTTTGGGGCATGCCTTGTTCAAATCGGTAAAATCTACACATAGCCTCAACATTCCATTGGGCTTCGGTACTAGCACCACGTTCGCCAACCAAATCGGTAAAATCCTATTTGTAACAACTTATCTACCTCAACCACTATGGCTTGTTGCCTTTCCAGTCCATGACTTTACTTCTTTTGCTTCACAAGCTTGTAGTCTGGATCAATACTGAGCTTATAGGATATGATGTCGGGATTAATCCCAATTATGTCTTTAGCCGTCCATGCTAAACTGTTGACATTGTCTTCCAACACCTTTCTAATACTGCTTTGTATTTCCATAAGCAGTTCAGCTCCCAAAGTTATAAATGTTTCCATAGTTCTACCTCCCATTTGACCAGTTCGCCCATAGGCGTGGGCTTGAAGCCGAGGTGTATCTGAGTATGTCACAAGGTTGATGCTCATCTGGCATTGTGTGTGTTTCCTCTTCTGGCATCCACATAATGGGTAGGGTAAGAGGTATCCCTTTCAGTGCTACCATGTATGCTTCCTGAGTTATCTTTTGATCCCCCTTCATAGCAATAATCTCATTATTATCACAGTAAAATTTTAGAGTGAGATACTCAATACACGTAACTGCTTCCAACTCATATAGGGCAGGTGTAGACCCTCAAATTTTGCCCCTACTGGCCTAGTGATCATAAACCATTTTTACATAAGTTTGGATCGGGATTTCCAATCGTCCCGATTTTCGGACCAATGTTCCATTGCTGAGATAATACACGTATTTAACCATTTTATTTTTTCGCGTAACCGGGCGTTTAGCGACGAAATCGGACCCAAGAAGCGCATCAAGCCCGCCAGTGCACTACCTCATTTTACGTGCCACCCAATCTGATTTTATAAAAATGGGTCGGGTCCTATTTTGAGGCCTACCAGTGGCGTATTGCCACATGAGCCCTAAAGTAGGGCAACATATCCCCATTTGTCTATAAATAGGGCATTGGATTGTGTTGAAGGAAGATTTTTTGGAAACCTTAAGGAAACTATATCATTTTCAAAACTCAACTAAGAATCAAAGAAGAACTTGTGTTCATACTTTGATCTATGTTATTAAACATCTATTTTTGATCAAAAAATCCTTAAGGATTCATTAAAAATTCTAAAAACACATTTATCTAATCTCAAACTCAGATTCTTGGATCAAAAACTCAACCTTTGAATTTCTCTCATCCATTCTTATACAAATCCTTGGAAATCTTCAAAAAGGTAGTTTCTAAGGGCCTTTAATCTCTTTTTGCACCTCTTTTTCATTTTATTTTGGTGTTAAATCACCATTCTTGTGCCTGGTTGTGAGGAAACCCGAAAATCACCATTCTTGTGCCTGGTTGTGAGGAAACCCGAGATCAACCAAAAGAGGGAGTCTAGGTTGAAATGGCGCATTGAGACCACAGTGGCGCAAGCCACTACGTGTGGCGTGCGCCACAAGCTAGTGGCTCGTGCCACTTCCCCACAGACTCACCCCTTTAAACTTTATTTTAATCTGTGACCTTCCTGATCAGGGAAAGGCCTGGCGCTATTACGTGTGGCGCACGCCACACTTATGTCGTGCACGCCACTTTTTCTATGGCACCAGGCACTTCATTTCAGAGGTCCAGATTAATAAATAACAATAAAACTGACCCGATTCGGATATCCAATGGCAAAGCTCCAGACTTTATTGATTTGTGACACATTTTTGCCCACAAATGGATTTAATAAACATCAATAAATAAGATTTTGAATAGTGATGGATGCATTTGCTCATCATTCATGATGAACATCAAGATCTTATGAACATCAAAGATCTTTGAACTCTAATCTTGTTTTAATCTTTAAATTTGTTGTTTAATAAACATCAATAAATAAGATTTTGAATAGTGATGGATGCATTTGCTCATCATTCATGATGAACATCAAGATCTTGAACTCTAATCTTGTTTTAATCTTTAAATTTGTTGCTTTAATTTAATTTCATTTACTTTTAAGCAGTTTTAATATTTTGTGCTTTAAATTTACGCCCTTTTATTCATTGTATTATGATTATTGTTGCACTAACTCATTATACATTAACCTTAGAACATAAACATGCATCATTTTAATCATTAGTTGAATAAATGAATGTTTTATGATTCTATATATGGGATTGTATTTCTATGAATGTCAATTTGTATTTATGTTTTATGGATGATTTTTATTGCTTTGGTTTTATTTTGTATTGGTTAAATGTAAAGGGGATTCCTAATAATTGCTTGTTTGTACTATTAATTGGGATTTGGAAAATTTTGAGAGGGTCAAGGGTAGATTGTATTTTAGGAGATTGGTTGTATTCTTTTCTCCTCCCTCCTTTCTTATGGATGCATATTTTATGTTTTATGTGCTTCACCAATTTGCATGATTGACATGATTTTCAAAAATTGCATTAAAATACATTTTACACCTCAATTCTAATTAATATTATTATTAAATTATTGTGAATTAATGGATAACGAGGAGGCCGGTTTAACTAGGTGATATAGGTGCCTAATACCTTCCCAATATCATACCTAACTCCCAAACCCTATCTCTGGTTTAAAACCGAGTTAGTCGAATAATTCGAGAATTTTTCCTAAATAGGGTGGCGACTCCAAACTAAAACTCTTACCAATATAAGAGATTTTTTTACAAATCCCTTTTTTTTTTTTTAAAGGATCGCCATTTATGAGGATTAATAAATGAGTTTAATAAAAGAAAATCATTTTACTAAATAAAATCCAACCAAGCTCGTTCTCGATTTTCCTTTCATGTAAAAATAAGGCATCATCAGCGAGCCTGCCTAGGATGACATTAAATGGAAAGTGGATGTCCGCTACCATGCAAGTTGAATTGTTCAATAAGTGCAATTTTGTAAGTTGAAGTTTCTAACAAGTCAAAGTAAAAGTAAATTATGCCACAAGATTTTTGACAGAGGTGAATTTATGCATTTGACCTATTTTAACTAATGAAAAGAAAGATAGAACTTGTATGATAAAGCTTCTTGGAATGTTAAATAAATGGAAATACCCTAATCATTAATTTTACCACAAACTTTTAAAGTAATTGTAATTTCATTCTAAATTTACATTTGCACTCTGAGCATCTTAAATTTATCAACCTATATGTATTTACTCTCTGCATTTACTCTCCAATATGCTTTTAATATGCAACTGCACTCTAAAAGTGATTTAGGGCATCTTAAATTTGTTGATATATTGCAATTGCACACTAGAAGAAATTTAATATTGGGATTTCAATTAAAATAATTAAATATAGACGGTCTAACTAATCCAAGCTTGTTAAATGCACAACACACTATTTCAATTAAAAGGGAAAATTAATCATTTTGCCCATTTTTTCTCTGAGTCGTTATTTCTCTTCCCTTTATAGGAAATTAAATAGTGACAATTGACAATGGCAAAGGAATTACCATATTTGTTGTTGTACGAAGAGTAAACATTAAATTAGCGTTGAACTCATATTTTTTGCATCTTAAAGTTGATTTAGTTCTAAAATAAAAGGCCCAATCTTGATTTTCTTGTTTATTATAAGAATACTCGGGCTTAACGTTCTTGTTTATTGTTTGAATTCTTAGGTTATAGCATTTGTTTCCCATTTAATTCAAACAATCCATGTTGCATTTACTTTTATCTTATAGGGTACAATTCCAATACATCAATAAGTTTATGGGCGTCCTAATTTGCTTCTGGGTTACAACTACACGTTAAAAGCAAATTATTATATAAATGCAATTGTTGATCAAGATCGTCTAGAATACAAATGTTAATTCAGAGTGAAATTGCAATTATTTGAAAAGTTGAGAGAGAAATTATCCCACAAGATTCAGTTAAACAGTAAGACATACAACATTATATTTAATATTCATATTACTGGAAACAGTAATGATTATAATTAAATATAATGGATAAAAGTTCTATCTCAAATAATAGTTCATGAAATGCAGCTTTGTTGCAAAAAATTTATCGGGAGAAACAATAGTAATAAGACGCAAGTGAAAAAGGAAAAACATGAAGAAGCTCAGCCACACAAGTTTTAGCTGAAACTTTTACATACAATAATCAAATGTTCAATAACATTTATATATGTATATATATATCTCTTAACTTGAAATTCAACTGTGAAGAAGAAGAAGAAGAAGAAGAAGAAGCTGCTTGTAGTGTTGTTATCTACTGAGAAAAATCCAAATCCCAATCTGCTGTACTCTGATATAACTGAACTTCTTAGTAACAAAGATTTTCAAATCCCATATACTCTTCGTTTTCCAGCTTCTCAACCATATCTGCTATGCCCACTCCACCTGCAGTATCCAATTGTAAGACTTAGAATTACTTCTTGAAAATGAAAATTAAAAACGATTCTGGAGATAACTTATGATACCTAAACTGATTGCGCTGACAAAAATTGTCAAAGCCAGTATGAAAATGATTATTGATGTTCTTCCAAGAACGGCAATAATCCTTCTCACTACGTGCTGCCCGGCCAAGGCAGCAAATGTTGCAACTATAACAAAATAAGTAGCTGCAAATAAAATAAAATAAAAAAATTAATGTAAGCAAACATTTCGTTTCTGTTAGGAGGTCCCAAGTTTGAATTGTACCAGTTATTATCAAATATTTGTGTCTTTTACAAATTATTTTCACTTACCATATGGGACAGGGAAGCGATTGAGAAAGTAGTACTGAACAACTGACATAGATGATGAGAATACCATTGCGAAGGTAGATGTTGCACTTGCCACCTGAGAAGGATACAATATTATTTATTTTATGCATATATATATTGCATACTTCCCACATGGAACTCCATTATGAACTATGTAAGCCCCTATATATAGTAGCGGATCTACATTATAGAAAGGTGGTCAATTGCTATCTTTTTTTCTTAATTTCGTTTGATACACGTGTATTTTTTTTTTTTCAATTGATCACTGTTAAAATTCTGAATAAACTCTCCTTATTATAGTTTATTATATATTGATTCTGGAAAGTTTTTTTCATGTGTTGTACCTGAGGAGGAATTCCTAGTTCAAGGAAAAGAGGTCCCAAGATAAAGCCGCCTCCTAGCCCAAGCAAGCCACCTACCATACCAGCTATTATACCACAGGAACAGTAAAGAAAAATCTGATGAAACTTCCAATTTGTGATTTCTTTTCCCTTTGATGCTATAACTCTTGTCCCTTTCCGCAAACATATGGCTTCGAAAATAGTAACTGAGGCTGCAATTGGTATCTGTACAGCATTCAAATATTACATTATAGTAGAAATTTTCGACTTGAAGGTAATTTTGTCATAATTTTTCAGGTTTCAGATCTCACCTGTAAGGCGTTAAGAATCCAGTATGTCATGGAGCAGGTTTTAGCATATGACTGCAAAAAGATAGTACACGTTTAAAAACATCTAAAAAGCCAATTCAATCTCTCTGTTCCACATTGCCCGCTTCAGATTTGGGGACCTTCCTATAATCTATTAGCCCGTTTAGTTTTGACACTTGGGTTTAAGATTGGCGCTTGGTTTATAATTTATTTGGTATTTAATTCTTGAAATGTTATATAATAGGTAGCTCACCTTAACAATTTGAACAGCAAGAAAGCCTAACCATACATACACCAGCAATGCTACTTCTTTCCAGTAAATGTTTTGAAGTAGAGGAATCTGAACAGAATTATAGAAAATGTAAGCACCAATAGCAACAAAAACAAGAATAGTAGTGTGATTAAGGATTTTTTTGAAAAGGGTATGGAAAATTCAGCAACCTCTTCATCATTTGAGAGAGCTGTTGGACCGCTCGGGAGTGGTTTGTAATCTTGTCCATCTGCAAATTATTTGAGTTTTTTCAATATTTTTCTTAAAATTTATACCCATTTCTGAATTTCAATATTGTGTTTGGATTTGTATATTTGAACAATGAAACACTCACCACCAGGTTTGGACTCTGATTCCAATTGCTTTGCTGCTTCCTGAATCTCAACCAAAAGGTGAATTAATAAGCACGAAAATACAAAAGAGATCACTATAAAGAAAGCTCAAGAACCAGCAAACATAAAACCTTTTACCTTCTTCATCATTGTCTCTTTCTTCCATGTATCTATTCCTTTGAATAAAGCTTTAGTTGATGTACCTGCCATAAGTAGATTTGTTTATTTACTTGTTTTTGGAATCGCTGCTTTGGTTTCTTTAATCAGAAGAAGTGTTATCAATTTCTTGGTTTTTTCTTTTTTACCTATGAAGAGGATAATAAGCAAAACTGTTACCATCCAATCAGCAAACATGACATTAAAAGCTACTCCAATGCTAATTCCAAGCATAAGCATGGGCTGAAAAAGCAAAGCAAGGTCATAGTCTATAAGGGGCATGTCAAGTGTTGGGTGCCTTAATCTTAGGTTGTAGTATACTGTTGATCCTGCAGCACCCATTATCATACCTACAATCAGAAAATCAAATCACAAGTTAGTAACAGAAGTAATTGAAAAACATAATATGGAAGGGAATAGAATTTAGCATTTGTCACTGCTGGCATAAGAGTGAGTGTTGTTTTAAGACTGTGTTGTGCAACAACTTTTCGAGTAGTTTTTATTGTTTTGACCAGTCAAATCATAAATGCTATATATTATTTTTTATAGTGTTCGATAACATAGCATTTGAACTAACTTTTAGAAGTTTTGTTAGCGTTTTATAAAAGGTTAACCCCTAAAACTTTTAGTTTTTAGCGTTTTATGAAAAGCTGCTCAAACAGCTACTCAAACAGCTAAAAACTACTAAAACAGCTAACAGTTATTAAAATAGTTAATTTTGCCGAACAAGCCCTAAGTATTGAGATTTGAATTAAAAAAGTAAGTGTTGCTTACACTTCGAAATGGCAGTGGAAGATTTGGGATCAAAACCTATAATCAAGGTGAGCATAGGAACAAAAATTCCACCACCTCCAACACCTCCAACACTACCCAGTGCTGCACCCAGGAACCCAACTATTGATCCTACCACAATTTTCCAACCAAACTCCATCTCCTGTTACAAATTTACATATTTATTTATATTAGTCATAAGAACTTGTTGGAAATAATCAATGCAAGAATAGTAAACAAAAACTCACTGGCCAAACAGGATCATAAGAGGACTTGCCACTCTGCCACAAGAAATGAGCCATTTTTTGAAGAAAACTAGGTTCCATTTCTTTCTCAACCAAAATTTTTGGTTTTTGTTCTTTCAGTAGTCTTTCTGCATTAGTAAAACTGCCCATAACCATTAGACCAAAGAATATCACCATTGCTCCTATTACTGAAACTCTTTTGACACTTAGCACCATTTTGGCTATTTTGGTTGGTGCAAGACTATTGGAAGCTTTGGGAGAGAGCGTATTGTTGGCTTGTAACAATGGGTTTCAGTCCCCTTTGTTCTTTGTTTTGATTTTTATGGTCTATGGTATGAGCAATTCTTATGCAGGGAGAGAAAATCTGAAACAAATAAGGGAGTGTACTCTGAGGATATGCCCAGCTTCTAGATATATAAGTGTATATATAACTCTCTTTGTGCATCTCTCTCTTTCTCTCTCTCTCTCTCTCTCTGGTCCCCTGATATGGACTGCACCTAAATGATTCTGCATCTTGTTTTTAACTGGTCAGCATCTAACAAAGGTGACCATTGAAATTTTAAAATTAAATTAAAATAAAAGTAAGATTTAGTAATGTTTTACTGTTCTTCAGCTGACAAGTTTTGTTCCTAACCTCAATAGTACCTGCATGCATCCAATAGCTTTAGATTTGGCTCCTTTAATCAGAATTTACAAAGATAGAGTATTTCATTTTTATTCCTAATTTAATTTCATTTTAACTGATTCCAATTTATATTGAGCTTAATCGTAAGCCAACTTAGAGATTACACACATTACTTACTCGAATATAAATGAATCAAGTTACTTGAACTTCATTAATAAAATGTTATGATTCATCAAGTAGCTAGTGAAGTATTTTCATATAATTTTTAACAAATTTTTATATCATATAATAAAATTTTTAATTAAAAATATTTATGAATTCAAGTGTACAAAAAATATAATCAAGGTTAAAGTAGCATTTTAGATTTTGGGTCCAGCTAAATTTAACTCAGTTTACAACTTCTAACAAGGAGGGTACTGTGTCCATTGACAGCTAAAAAGGAAAGGGGAAAGAAACATGGTTCATGATGCCAAAAAAAAAAAAAAAAAAAAAAAAAAAAAAAAAGGAGGAATTAAGTGATTGATCGCCTGATTTGGACGGTTAGGCGTCTCTCAATAAGCTACTAAGCAATTTGTCCCCCTAAAAAGTTGTATTCTGAAATAGATAGGGAAACAAAGCTTTTGGTTCTGAAATTTGTGTCTTTAATCACACTTCCGATAAGCATAATTTGTTTAGTTATTTATTTTTTAATTTATTAAGAGATCCGACAAACAGAAAGAATATTACCGTCTACACAACAGAGGTAACTCTTTCCTTTTAATTAATTGGTAGGTCAAGAGTAGTGGCAGATGTACGTTGTGAAATGAAGAGTCAATAACCCCTCTTTTCTAAAAAAATAAAAAAAAAAAATTAAACTTCCTAATAAGACACTACCATTAGCGAGTTTAAAGTTAAAAATAAATTTTTTAAAACAATATTTTTAGAAATTGAAATATATGAAAAATGGAGGACTTGTGTAATCTACGTCAAATAAAACTTTTTTTCTCTCATCATCATTTCAATTTTTTTCAGTAGTTCATCTCTTACACTTTTGTAGTTCTAACTCTTTAATTTTTCCTAATTTCAAATTGTATTATAAATATTTCAGGCAATTTGAGGTATCCATATTTTAATTCTGTAAGTTATATTTGTTATTAAAACTAAAACTTTCATAGGAATTGCTTGTTTATTGTTTTTCTTTCAAAACTCATTGGATATTTTATCAAAAAGATTAAAAATATAGAAAAAAAATTTAGATAATTATTTATTTTAATATTTTATTACTTATTTATACATTTTATATTGACTCCAGAAAATTTTTTTTTTTCTAGATCCACTGCTTATCGAGAGGATTCGAATTTAAGACTTCTTATTCCTCCGTGTAATGGTTAAAGTTGCCCATTTTTAATGCATCTATACTTTATTGTGTTTTAAAAAATAAATCACTGTAGCTTGCAATTTCTTGGAAACTGAAGCGAAGTATGTTAACTATTACAACTTGTTTCTTTGGTTATCAAAACCCCCAATGTTTTTTTTATAGTAGCTGTAGACCATGTTCTTGCAAGGTCAACCAATCAATTTCTTTATTCCAATCGTACCAATATCAACTAACCACTTAGCTATTTTCTATTTGATGTTATTATGATGGAAGAAGCTTCATATATTTGTTTCTGATTGAGGTAATGTTCTGAATCGAGCAAATCACAGTCTAACCTTTCCTTTTACTTACTTTAATTATTTTAGAAAAGGAAAAATTCCCATAAGCACAAGTTACTTTGTAGTTGAAAAAGAGAAATTATTGTAGGGAAATTTCGAAGAAGCAGCTTTGAACAACACAAGTTATAGCAATTGCAGGCACCGTACAATTTCAAATTGGGACCAAAAAGGCCAAAAAGGACCAATGCTAGCCCGTTTTGTGGCATATAGCTAAGAAGCTTCATAGGGTTTGAATGCTTGTTGGTTTCTTCTTCATAAATTTTTCTCACTTGCATACAAAAACTCTCTCTATTTAGTGGCTCACATCACATTGGCGGTCTGTACTGTATCCCTTTACTTGATTGTTCATCAAGTTATGCCTGCAAATTCAGACCACTAAAATTTGAACTGAAAGCTTGTCACAAAAAGATGTTAAAAGTGGAAGCATTGTAGGTTAAATTACTAAGAATTCATACCTTGAAAAAAAAAAAAAAGAGCAAAAAAAAGTAGAAAGACCAATTAGACCATACCTCATTAACATTTATACAAAAAATTTTGGATCATAATAAAACTAATAAACAAAAACAAAATGCTCTCAATTTTTTTTTTATCCCATCTAAATTCCTAGCGCGATAATGGGAATGAAAATTGCAAAACAAGGCGTACGATATCCATTGCCGATCCTAGAACAAAACGTCCCATGCGTTTAATCCCAAATCGCATGTTGCAAAAGAAACCGCAATAGCCATATCGAATCATTGAATTGTCCTTTTTTTCACTTTTCTTTTTACCTTTATTCTTCTCTTTATATTCTTGCACTTTAACTGAGTTAAGAAATAGGTTTCGTATCATAAATTTTGATGTTATGAGAAAAGGTTCTCGAACTGCAAGATGGACCACGAAGTGCGTTGGCTCTACCCATTCTTCAGAGGATTGGCACTTGATCATTCAACATAACCGCTGGATCAAAGAATTTTCCACACTTTTTTTTTTTTTTTTTGACTTTTTTGGGTTGAGGTTGAAGGATTTTGATTCCACTGTTACAGGAGCCAACGGGGTTGGTACTGCTAGCATTTTATGTTTGCCCACATTTTAAATTTGTATTCCTTTTATTGATTTTTCCACACTTTTCACTAATAAGTAAAATTAATAACTAACAGAAAATATTACCTAGAATAGACTTTCCTTAATCTGCAGCAGAACCTTCTCATAGACCAAACCACCGTAATTGAGTACAAACATACAACAAAAATCCAGCATCTATGAACTGGTCAGTATGATGTTATTACACTGAAGGCTAAAGCCGCTCATCCGACTATTTACAAAGCCATTCAGAACACAGTTTCATACTCGTGAAAAGAACTGCCAAACAGAAGGTGCAGTCCACTAGCCGTACAACCTCTTGAAGGATAAATGGAGACATCCACTTCCCACGCAAAAACAGAATGGAAAGTCCTATAGATAAACATTCTTAATGAAGAAAATACCGTCCTAACCTTTTGATACCCTTGTGACCAACAAATTCCAGTCCAATAGATTTTGCAATTAAAGAAATTATATCTAACCCATCACAATTCAGAGATGGTATTGTAATCTGGAACACAAGCCAAGGTCTTTCCATTTCGGATTCAGAAACACAAACAAGCAAAAACAACCACATATCCTTCAATCCTATTAACTCGTACATAAAATAATCCAACGTTTTCTAAACCAGAGACCAGAAAGCACTCTGGCTTTTGATCAAAATATGCAACAAAATTCATTCATTCAATTCATAAAGTTCATACCAAATCAAACAGAAAGACAAAGGGCAATAGCTGTTAACGTAATTCCTCTTACCAGTAATGCACAACAGCATATTTCAGCAGACTTGCAATTTCAGTTATCATACTCCCGTGAGTGAGACCTCTCTGATCGCCGATATTCATTTTCTCTGTCAAGTGATTCTGATGTTCCATGATCATAATGGTAATCATCCTGGTCCATTCGCTCATAACGATCGTGATCATGGTCAGGATATTGCTCGTAACGGTCATGGTCACCTCGAACATCCATGTGATCATATTTTCCTCTGCTTCGGTGATGTTCATAGTGATCATAACGCTGATCATCCTCTGTATCTTGCCGCCCATGCCCCTGTTCAGGTTGTTCATACCAACCACGATCATCCTCTGGTTCAGCATGCTCATAGTCCCTTTCAGAACGGCGATCCCTCTCATGCTTCGATTCAACACGGTCATAATCGGATTCCCTATCGTGTGAACGCCCACGATCATTTTCACCAACTTCATAATCCCTCTCCCTCTCCCGAGTGCGATCACGATCATGGTCGCGACCACGGTCTCTGTCACGGTCGCGTTCATATTCACGACCACGATCCCGACCTCGATCACGATCTCGTGTACGATCCCGGTCACGATCCCTGTCCCGTCCACGTTCTCTCTCCCTCTCCCGGTCCCTCTCCCTGTCACGATCTCGATTGTGCCTATCTTCTCTATGATCACGGTCCCTTGGCCTGTCATGGGAACGCTCACGAGATTTCTCCCGTTCCCTCTCTCTGTCCCTTCCTCGTTCACGAGATTTCTCCCTCTCCCTGAAATGTACATACAGCAACCCATCAATCATATGTACAACATGCAATATATCAGTCACATATATAACAAAAGTACTCATAAAACTATCAAATAACAAAAACTTCACAAAACTCCATGGCTACAGTTAAATAATTTATAACCATTCAAGTAAGAACAATGCAGTAATCGAGTGAACATGAGATTTCTCATCCAACCACTGGTAGAACACAACAGAAAGAATTTATGCTGAAACACTACCCTTTCAACACGACTTCTTTTGAACTCTTTATATTTTGAAGAAACAATCAATAATCAGAAACAGCAATAATCTCTTCCAATGAAAAAGGAAAACCTTACCGTTCAATATGACGATCTTCTCGTGCCCGTGGCTCCTCAGATCTAGATGATCCTCCTGATTGCTGTACTTCTCTGATGAAGGTCAAATGAACATGTTAGATTTTTCCAGAATAACAATTCATCAAATTTCAAGCAAGATAGGCATTGTTATTTCACATGATACGACCTTCAAGCTTAGCATTAATATATTTCATCAACTCATGCTAGTAAATAGTCATTACAGAGCCCATAAAGGTTGTAGCATTGTACAACACTAATTGAAGCATAAAAAATTTTAGGTACAAATACATACATAGTACAAATACCCCTGGCATTCATAACTATTTTTGCATATTATGGATGCAGCTTCTAATATAATAGGCACCGGCACAAAGATTAATGGGGTGTATGCATCCACAAAATATAACTAAAAAGTGTTATGAATGAGAGAAATTACCTCCCAGAATACCTCTGGTTGACTTCTTCACCACCTACTCGTGTAGTTCCAAGTCCACCACCTAGTCTGCGAGGCCGCCAATTTGGAACAGTTCTACCGCGCTCAACATCCACAAGCACCCTTCTGCCATCAAGCTTCCGTCCATCAGCTTGCTTATATGCAGCTGCGAAGACATGAAAATAGTTATTAGAAAAATATGGAAAAGTACATCAATAAAACATCAATAGGCCTGATTACATTAAAAAAAAAAAAATCAAACCTTTCATGTCTCGAGTATGCATATACTCGATGAAAGCATATCCTCTAGGTTTACTCGTCGCTTTATCAGTTATCAATCGGACCTGCAAAGCTCAAATCAGAAGAATAAATAAAATACATTTATGAGTCAGAATTTTTCTCTTTATGAATGATCTCCACAAGATTTGTTTTTCATTTTTATGTAACCAAGTGACAACTCTATGGAAGTATTAAATAGTAAAACCTAAATGGCACGGCAGACAGGCAATATGCCTCATGAGCCGTGCTCACCTTTTAATCATAGGGCTTCCAATCGCGAGATGCATCACCACCAGTGCTAGGGTCGCAGAAAAAACTGATATTTCGTGGCAAATTTACCAATTCTTGAACAGACTAATATCCCCTTACCAGGGAACAATGTTTTTAAGTAAGAAAATATAGTTTATAAATAAAATAGCAAATACCAGGACATCTTCTCAACTGCTGATTAGTTTTGATAAGCCTTTGAAGCCAAAAGTAAAAGTTTTAGTAGCAAGGAAATGCATTACAAAGAAAATTCAAATAGAGAGAAAGAGATGCTAATACTCCCAACATGTTTTACCCAGTGCAGGGAAAAGGAAAGAGGCCAGTCTCCTTTCGTTGCTTGAAAATAAAGGCCAAAAGGCACAGTATACCACTGCTCTGCTCAACTTAACTTTCAGCTTTGCCAGCAGGATGAAGCACATCGTTCAAATTGTATAGTAAGGAGAAGGGTAGAAAATATTCCATTTGTGGAACAGAACAAAGCAAACAGCCCTTACCAGGGATCTCTCAGCATGAAGAACCGTGTACTAACACAATACCTAGAAGAGGACCAACTCCCCACCCCAAAATGACTTCTAAACCCAAACTACATTTAAAGCAGAGTTAAAAAAAAGGATTTGCAGAACAAGCCCATGCCTTTACCAGTAAATTGGCAGTGATACCTGAGGTATTATTTGCATACTCCACTGATGATATTACACAACAGATAGGTGCTCAACATTCTCCCTTTCATATGGACGCTGAACATAAGATGAACTATGGATCGCTAATTACACTTACCACCAATACAGAACTTTTGCAATTGTGAGGGCCTACTGTATTCATGTTTGGCTAACAGGGATTATAAAATTAATTTTACAAGTAGTGAAAGCTTTAACGTTGAATTAACATAGGTTCAATTGAAGAATATTAACAAATATAGACATGATATAGAAGATACTTCAGCGCCTTGAAAATCTTTTGTTCAGTTAAAACATTAAGAAAGAAGGCATGAACTATAAAATTTTCAAAACTAGAAACTTTGAAAAAGAAAAAAAAACGTGTTCTTTGTGAAAGTGAAATGCTTAAATAATGCTGCTGCATAACCTCTTACCAAATCCGCTTGCGTATACTCAAAAATACCTACCCGTTTTATTGGTCCATAAGACTCAAACTCCCTTTTAATTCTACTCTCAGTTGTCTCATAATTCTGCAAGAGGATAATATGAAATCATTAATCATCGCAGCAAAATACTAAGCATCCAACTAAAAATTGATGAAGAGACAAGAGTACTTACAAGCCTAGCAACGAACAATGTCTTGTATGGATCTCCTGAAATATTTGGGTCATTATTTGGATCATCTGAATGAACAAAAGAGTTAAAAGTTACTGCATAAATCAAATAAACAATTTTCTAATTAGTATTCTAGGTTTTAGTAAATAAGTAAAACCAAGAAAGGCAATCTCACATTTCTGAAGCTCCTCAGCAGCCTTCTCTGCACCCTTCTCTAGTCGTAACTTGTGAATTCTAGCCCTCCTTTGTGCCTGGACCCAAAAAACAGAACTTAAATTTCACGGAAAATAAAAGCAGATTATTCTAGACACAAAAAGAAGTGCCAAATTCCTTCTAATAAATGAAACGCAAACTCATGTTGTATAAGTTCATGTCATTATGTGTGAGATTAGACAAAGAATCATGTAGAAAACTCATATTAGGATCATTTATATGTGATATGTACCAATAGAAGGTTCTGCTTGTTGATGTTTCGTTGTTCCTATCAACATACCATATCAATCTAGTTTGTGCTCGAACTTCATAGTAAAAACAACTGTTTTAGGTTTTTTGACGACTTGCAAAGATAAAGGAAAATAAAATAGAAGGCATTGAACATTGAAAATCACATAATAAAATCATAGTAATAAAAGCAGTAGGAACTTTTTGGATTAGTAAGGAAGAAATTCTTTGTCTGGTAATGTTAAAAATTTTTTGAGAATAAAAGATAGTTTCATAATTTTGAATCACTTCAACAAACGAGTTACAAAGGATTATCATACACAAAAAAGAGGGATCATTCACAAACTAAGCGTATCAACTTAAACAGAAACCAAGGAAAAAGGAAACCTACTGGAGTTTCGGCTTTTTGTACAGGGGGTGCATACTCAGGTTCCCCGGGCTCAGCAAACTGACTCACAAACTGGGCCATGCCTAAAATAGAGAACAAAAATGGATTAGAATCCAAAAGACAAACTACAAAGACTGATATCACAAATCAAAAATATGTATTAAGTTCAACAAAATAAAGGGGTACCAGTATATGGTGGGCATTTCCTCTTCTCTGGAGGTGGTTTATACTCCAATGGAGGTCGAGGTTCAAAAAGCTTCAACAAATTGGCTGTTAAACCAGTCGGATGGCTTTGTCCAATCTGTAAAATCAATAAACATGAGTTTGATTAGATCATAAGAATCAATCATCATGTAATAAGTGTCCAATTTATATAATATCAAGCAAAGAAAAAAAGTTTGAAACCCTAGGGTTCAACTATTCCATAAACCACAGAGAAGAAGAAGACTGGAAAGGAAAATATTTATGGCAGGAACCAGTTTGAGCTGAAGAACATTAGCGCGGTTCTGGCCCTTGGTATTGCCACGAACGGCGGCGTTTTGGTTGCGCATGAAGGGATCGGTGTTGTCACCCATGACGATGAGATCCGAACTGAGCTAGGGTTTTTCTGCTATTTGGGAAAGTCTGGTGTTTAGTGAGATCAGCTTAAGAAAATTGCAACAATGGATTGGTGATTATATTCGGCTCCAGATTCAAATTAGAAGGAAAGAGAGAAAAAAGCGATGAAGTTATCGCAATTGCAGTTATAAATAGGAAATGTGTACCAAATATAAAACTTGGGGAAATCAAATTATTTTTTGTTTTGTTATCAATATCAAATACTAATATTTAGGCCGAATTACTATTTTGTTATAAAAAAAATTTCTTATTTTAAATAACTAAAAATATTGACCATTTATTTTCTCTACAATCTTTTGTTTTAAAATTTTTAAATAACGAAACAAAGCACCGACCTTATTAGTCTTTTTCATAACGTGTGTTGAACATTGATTGTACTCATTGTATACTCATTTGTTTTTTTTTTTTTTTTTTTTTGTTTGCGGGCTTTTTTTTTTTTTTTTTTTTGTATAATATTAAAACATAAGTTTTTATTTAGATTAAAATAAATGCAATTGGTTAATTTGTATTAAACTTTATCGTACAAACTACTTGTAACGTTAGATCTTAATTTATTTTTTTATAATGAAAGTAGTTTCAAAATAAACTTCAAGTTCATTCAAAAACCTAATCATTCAGTCCTTAATTTATAATTACAAATTCTTAAAACCCTAATAAATACCCAAAAAGAAAATCAAATCATCACCCAATTTTCAATCCCCTGCCGTCAAACCAAATCAATATCTATATGCAAATATAATGAAAAATAAAAATAAATTATTTTTTACTCCTAGGTAAAAAAAATTGAAAAAATGATAATTGATATTGGTAATCGCTTTGGCTATAGTGACAGTATTACTTATCCAGTGTATTAGAGAAATGAAATTAGAGAAATGAATATATGCACATATACACAAATTCTTAAAACTCCAAAATTAAACACTATTTTCTTTCAAGTCAAACAGATTTAAAATATAAGAGAAAAAATATTAAAAAGATTAAAAATATTTAATCATCAAGAGTTCATCCATTTATTTCAAAGATTACTAAATTAAAGTGATAGTAGTTAAATTATTAAATTTAGTAATGAAAAAAAATAAAAAATAAAAAATTATTATTAAGAATAAAACTCTTTCGAGACCTTAAATATTTAATAAGAAACAAGTTACATTAAAAAATTAAAATTATCAATTTGAATTTCAAAAATCAATCATTTCTTCAATTGAAAAGATCATAATTGAAATTTAATGTTGATGGACAAAAAAAAAAGATTAAAGTAAGTCAATAAATGCAAATTACAAAGCAAATCATGTTATGATCCAATATTGGTCAATTAATAAATTTATTTAAGTATTTTGTTTCTTGTAAGTTGTAAATTTAAAATAAATAAATAAATTAATCAATAATTAATAAAAAAGATTACATAAAAGAAATGTTTCATCCTTTCCAAATAAACAATCAATTTTTTTCTACAATCATACAAAAAAAAATATATATGTTTTTTTCTTTTTTACCTCTCCTCTAAATTTAATATTTTAAATTTTACAAAATAAAATCAAATATTTAAAAAATAAAGTATAAAAATTTTTAAATGTCTCATTATCATATATATTTATTAAAAAATAATATTTTAAAAGATAATATTTTAAATTTTTGAAATTCTTAATTATTTATATGTTCATTAATAAAAAAAGATTAAATAAAATAAACGTTCTGTCATTTCAAATAAACTCTCAAATTTGCCTACAACTACACACACAAAAAAATATATAGTTTTTTCTTCTTTTATCTCTCTCCTAAATAAAACATTATGAATATTTTATTTGAAATTTTATTTTTTTTAAATCATCTCCAAATAAACCTTGAATTTTCCCTCCAACCATATAAAAAAATATAGTTTTTTTTCTTTTTTATCTCTTTCCTAAATAAAATATTATGCGTATTCTATTTGAAAATCTATTTTTTTTTTAAAAATATATCCAATCAAATTATACAAACATAAAGAAAAAAGGATATACTTTTTCTCTTTTTATCATTCTCCTAAATAAATATTTTAAATTATAATCAAATAATAAAATTTTCATAATATCTTATCTTTATGTATTTATTTAAAAAATAATTTTTATAAATTATATCCAATCAACTAATAAAATTTAATTTTCTAATTAGATATCACTGATGCTATTTTAGTATATTTTAAATTTTATTAAAGGCGATATCGAAAATCTCATTATTCTCCTCTATTCCCACATTTATATATAGTATAGATAGATAGATAATATTATTATTTTTTTAAATGTAATTTTAAATATCATAATTTATTATTACTTTTCCTAATTTTTCGATAGTAAATTCATTTGATTTAATGATTGATATCCTGCTAACTTTTGCGTTTGCATATACATGTTTTTCGTTATATACTATTTGTTGTTCTCACTTGTATTTTGATTTTTGTATATCTATAAATTTCTTGTTAATTAATCATTTTCCGCAATTAGTTTTAAGTTTTATGGAATGATTTAAGCTAAGCCATAGCTAGGAGCCTAGGATTTCTAGAGTTACTATTTAAGGTTAGATTTAGCCAAACAGTTAATCAAATGTGAAATTAACAATCAAGTTCATACTTCTTACAATATTTTTCTTAATATAATATATAATTTATAAGATTTGGTATGTTTAAATGTATATTTTCTTGAATTCAGAATTTGAATGTTAGAGAAGGTAATAATTATTTTCTAAAGTAAAGTATAAAAGTAAATAGAAAATAGAATATAATATGTATCTTAAAATCAACTAATATTATTTTCCTTAAAAATCTATTATTATGACTAACACTCTAATACTTTATTCTTTTTGCGAGTATCATTATGTTTAATATTAGTTTGGTCTTCCATATCATTATTATCTCCTATAAAATTATTTTAAAAAATAATTATTAAGCCAATAAGAAGATATTCTTGATAAAAAAAATAAAAAATTATTGATAGCACAAATAAATAAACCATTAAAATTTATACATATGTTATAAACCATTAAAATTTTGATTGAATTAACATTCTAATTTAATATTTTAATTGTTATTTAATATGTTATTTTTAATATTATATATACAAGTATAAAGAAAAAGACAATAAAAAAAATACTTTGCTCTTTTTTTATCTCTCTCGTAAATAAAATATTTTAAATTATAATAAAAAAATATTTTAAATATAGATATAAAATAAATTAAATATTTAAAAATAAAATATAAAAATTTCAAATGAGTCCACTTATAATATATATTTATTATTTATTAAAAAATTAAAAAATAAATTATCAATATGTATTTATTTAAAAATAATTTAATAGATTTTATCCAATCAACTAATAAAATATATTCTTCTAATTGGCTAAAACTAAGGCTATTGTAGGCTATTCTAAATTTCAATAAGGATAATATTGGAAATCTCATTATTTTTCCTATTTCCATATTTATATATAGTATAGTTAGATTGTCATTTGTTTGAAAATACTTTTATTTATAACTCTATATTAAATGAATAATAAAATTAAAATAAATTTAAATTTAAACTATGCTTGTTTAAATTTTCAAATTTTTAAGTTTTTGAAAGGCATTATGGCATTAAGATTTCCAAGGTTTAGCCAAGGCTTATCTCAGGACCCCACTATTCGTCTGGTCCAAGACGAACTGTTATGGGGGATTTATTGAAACCATTGAATACGGAATATGGCAAAGTAGCTCCTGGATGGGGAATTATACATCACAATTATTTTACAAAAGTAAAATGATAAATGTTAATTGCTATTTAATTTTTAAAAAATCAATATATTTTTGCTATTGATAGAAATCTAACATTTTAAATTAATTTATAAAATTATGTAAATATTATGTAAGCTGATAATGTAAGTTTTATTTAGACATCTTAAGTGATCTTATAAAAAAAGAAAAAAATTCAAAATTCAAAATTCAAAATTCAAAATTAAGATACAGATAAAATAATTATTATAAATGAATATTAATTTTAAAATCTAATTATTAGATATAAAATTTAAATTTAAATGATAAATATCATTATAAATATAAATGCCAAATTTATTTTTAATTTATTAGATGTTATCTTATAAATTTCTTTATTATTTTAAATGCATTTATCGAATTTAATGTTTTTTTCCTTTAATTAAATCAATTGTGTATAATTAATCAATTGTGTAAATGTTTATACTTACTTGAGAAAGTAAAAGATATCAATTGTGTAAATGTTTACTTACTTGAAAAGTAAAAGATTTCTCTAATCTCCTATCTTAGTAAACAAAATAAATTACAAAATAATAATAATAATAATAATAATAACTGCACAACAAATTGAAAAAATTACTACAATAAATATTCAATATTATATAATTGATTGTACAAAGATCAAAATAAAAAAAATTATTTTTCTAAAAAAAAAAGCTAATAATTTATGAAAATAATGAATTTCGATTAATATCCATAATATTTATCTCTTTCCTTTCTCTGCTCTTTTACCTCTATCTCAATCTTTTCTTGCACAGTATACTGTATTTCATATTATAATAACATCAAATACAATAAGAATCATAAATTTTTTGTCATATCATATAATTCTTTATTTCTTTCCGAAAAAGTTAAAAAATTGAAAAAGAGAAAGAAAGAAAAGTAAGATTAAAGATTTGACATTACATCGACATTACATTACCTAAGATGAAAAGTAATAATAATAATAAATTAAAATAAATAGATAAAGATTTGAGAGCACAATCAAAATCCAAAAAATTGAAAGTAAAATCATCCAACAAACAACAAAAAAAAGGAAAAAGAAACATTATGAAGAAGATCATTAAAATTGAGAGGTATATATAGATATATGCATATAGATATAGAGAAGAAAAAAATTTAAAAGTTTTAAATTTTTAAATTTAACAATTTAAAAAGTTGTAAAGTTTTAATTATTCAAACTTTTAGATTTTATATATATATATAAAATTTAAAATTTTTCAATTTTTTTTTAAATTTTAAAAAAAAAAAAGAAAAAGAAAATACTCAAAGGAGAATATGCCAAATCAGCTTTTTTTTAAATTTTTTTCTTGAGGATTATATATATAGATACCTTTAAAAATTTTTAAATAATATAAATATTTTCCATTTTTTAACTTTATGACATAATTAAAATAATTT